TTTGTTTTGTCTTGATTTTATGATTTAATATTTTTGGAAAAGTGGAGCTGGTGTATTTAATTATTTTTGTTATTAACTCAGGTGTGCTGGGTTGCTCTGCAGTTTTCTTTGTAATGATGAAATCACTGTGTGGAATGTGGATGCAGGGGTCTGTTAGTCATGACAGGGGTTTAGGATTCAAGCTGGCAGGGGTTGTGGTGGCTGAATGTGGTTTTTCTATTGGATGAGGCAGGGGAGAGTCAGGGAGAAGAGGAAGAAAAGAGAGGGAAAAAAGCTCCAAGATGCCAGTAGCCATTCCCAGGGCTTTGAATAGGCTGCTAATGATGTTACACTGTTACTCACAGGCCCACAGCTCAAGTTCAGCAAAGACCCCAAAGGTTAGGGGGCTGCTACTTTCCACCAGATTCAGACAGCAAACAACCCATATTCCAGGCCCCTCCATGCCAAAAAGCTGTCCTGGGATAGCTGCCCTTACCGGTGCCACAAGTTAGTCCCAGGGTCCACCCACTTGTGGCAACCTTCCCTCTCTGCTCCCAATTCAGCAGCACCTGGAGCCAGAGGGGTCTCTGCTCCCTCCCTGTGGTCCCACATTTACCAATAAAAGCGGGTGCTGAAGGTAGATCCATGAAGTAGTCACGGGTCCTCAGGTGTGTTATCTCCACCGCCCCAGAGAGCACTCTGATACTCTGTCTCACTGGCCAGTCAGCGCTCCACAGGGCAAGTTCACCTACATTTTTTCCAGGTAATTACACTGCTTCTCTCTCCTTTCTAATCCTACTCTCCTGAGGTTGGTGTACTCTGACTTAATGAGCTGTTCAGAGTACCAGGATCCCCCCCCCCTTCTAACTGCTGCACCTAGTTTTTAGGCACTAAGATGCTAGAGGGAACTAGCATGTGGGCTACAGGTAAGACGCCATCTTCCTGTCTACCCTACAACTCAGTTTTAAAGCCAGTGCTGTACTAGTTTCACCTAGAACATTGACATAGGCCATTTCTAAATATTGACCATTGTGTGCAAAGTGACTGACTCCAAATGACAACCAAGCTTCATGCCCATAGACTGAAAATCAGATTTCATTAAAAAGATTTACTCTTTATTATAAGTACTTTCTCATTTCCTTCATTAGTAGAAATATAGCTAGCCCAGAAATTTCCAAAAAAGGAACAGGTTGATACTCAAAATAATGACAATAATAAAAAGAAACTTAAAATTATAGCAAACCAGGATCTAATTCAACCTCTTATTCTAATGATTAAACAATACAAAATGATGGCAAGGTGTAATTTATGTGATATTGTAAATCTGGCTTTAAATTAGATATATAATAGCCTGCTTCCACACTATTAAAAATTATCCAAAATAGCTATTTCACCTGGGGAGAAGAGCAGACACAGGAATATAAGGTTGCTGCCAACTGGAAAATATCTTCTGAATATCCAGTTTTCATACAAGAGTCTCAAAAATAAAGCAGAGAAAATTAAAATTCAATCATAAAATTCCAAATAGAAAAGGCAAAGAAACAAAGAAATTCTATAAAAATGACATAAATAATATCTGGAAAAATAAGTCAATAAAATACTTTAAATACTTGTACATGAAAACTAATCTAAGTGGGCTTTGTTGTTGTTGTTGTTATGTGCCATCGAGTCAGACCCAACTCACAGCGAGCCCTCCTTGGGTTTCCGAGGCAATATCACTACGGAAGTAGATTGCTCCATCTTCCTTCTGAGGAGTGGCTGGTGGGTTTGAACCGCCAGCCTTCTGGTTAGCAGTCAAGTATCTTAGCC